TCTCCTCTCTCCTCTCCTCCTCTCCCTCTCTTCTCCTACTCTCCTCCTCCTCTCTCTCTCTCTCCTCATCTCCTCTTCTCTCTCTCACTCTCTCCTCTCAACACACACCACCACAATCACCCACACACTGCACACCACACAACACACAACACACACACCCAACACACACACACACACCACACACACACACAAACACACACACACAGAACCGTTGAAAATCCAGCGTCGCCCAAAGGTTAGAAACAGCTCAAACTCATCTGACGGAGTAGCTGAACTTCCCCGAGGGATTTAGGTGTGAATATCAGGAGTTACTCAACTGCTGAAGTCACGTGATGTGCCTGAAGAGGAGGGTGTCAGGCCGTTATCCGAGGAAGGGAAGTTTGAAGGGAAGTTTGAGGGGAAGTTAGGGTGGGAGGACTGTTGCCGAGTAAAGGGATCATTTAAGGGCGCGGATTTACAGGGGTCAAGGGCAATGTTTGAAAAAGAAGACAGGAAGGGCTTTTTGGGGGAGGGGCGTGAGGTTCGAGCTTCTGTGAGGAAGGGGGGGCGGGGGGAGGGCTGTGTTTTGGCCGGAACACTAAGTAAAGAAGTCAAGGCTGCTCTCTCTCGATCTCGTCATAGACTTACTGAAGAAATCATGATAATAAGATCTGTCTCCAAAAAGTCTCCACGAACTTTAACGACACTCTCATCATCATCTCTCTCTCGCTCGCACTCCTCTCTCGATCCCACGCGTTTCTCTCTCCTCGAGCATCCGCACATCAGATCTCTCACGGTCTCTTCTCATCAATCTCTCCTTCCAGTATCTCTCTCCGATTCTCTTCCTCTTCTCTCACGGAGCTATGACTTCTTAGGTTTCTTCTCGATCGGTCTCTCGTCTCCTCATCTCGTACCCATCGAGAAGAAAGAGAGAGAGAGAGAGAGACTGGGGAAAGGGGATTAAGGTGAAACCACACGAGTGAGAAGTAAAAACAAATGGTTATTATGGGCGTGTAGTGCAAGGCAGTCTATAGAGACCGTGGCAAAATGCGTTAAAATTTAGGATGCGACGAAATCGAAGTAGTTACATTATTGATAGAGGCGAATGCTTGTTAAATTGTAAAATTAAGAAGTGAAGTAGAAAGTGTAGCAGTGTGAATAAGGTATGCTTAATTCCCTGCGTGTGTGTTTGTTGTGGTGTGTGTGTGTGTGTGTGTGTGTGTGTGTTGTGAGTGTGTGTGTGTTGTTGTGGTGTGTGGGTGGTGTGTGTGTGTGTGTGGTGGTGTGGTGTGTGTGTGTGTGTGTGTGTGTGTCGTGTGCGCAGCGCAGCGTGTCGTGTGTTATGTGTGTGTGTGTTTGTATGTTTATATGGATATCTGTATATATGTTATAATTGTATATATATATATATATATATATATTATATATAACAGTATATATAATATATATATATATATCATATATAGTATATATATTATAGTATATTTATTCTTGTATAATTAGAAATAGAGAAGAGGTAGGTAGAACATAGATATAGATAATGTAATTAATAGATTAAAGATAGATAAGACTAGATAAACGCGTGTACCGTGTGTTTATGTTGTAGTGTTGAAACATGTCCTGTGTGAAGGTAGGCCAGTGGTTTAAGCCAAAAACAGCCTGAAAGGCAGTCATTAGAAGTGCGTAAGCGAGAGTGGCCGCTGATCACAGGATATCCGAAAGCTCAGTTAAACCTTTCTGCGATAGAAAACTTCAAAATCCGAAGACCAGTTTAGGAATATCCAGTTTTCATCTCTGGTATTAAATTGGTGAAGTTGGTCATTTTTTTGGGTCCATTATCTCTTTTATCGGATTATTACCACTGCACTAGAGTAATCACACGGGCCAGCTCATTACCAGATCGTCAGAATCACCAATCACCTTCAACAATTCACAACTCTTTCCATTGGATAAAGAAAAATTGACACTATTTAAAAAGCGAAAGTAGAGGAAAAATATATTCATACAGAAGAGAGGGAGAGAAAAATGCTTCCTCCATTCCCCAACAATTCCAAGTTTTCATGCCTGTTCTTTTATTAATTTATATTAAAAATTCGAATATTCATTGTCAGGGAATTTCTTAGAGCCGTTCGCAACTGGCTTGAGATTCAGTAGGAGGGGGGGGGCTGGTTAAGATAGGAGGGTGGACAGAGGGGGAGGCATATAGAGCGGAGGGTGGGGGTGGGGGGGTCGGGAATTTATAATTTGTTTCTGGATGCGTATGAGTGACAATTACCGAGGGGGGTGGGAGTTTTTTTTTTTTTCTTTCTTTTTTTCTTTTCTTTTTGATGGTGTTTTTTTTTTCTGGGAGATTGGTGTGGTTTCGGTTTTGTCGCTAATGTGTTTATTTTTATATGCAATTTTTTTAATGTATGTATATAAAATCTTTCATGTGTTAACAACTACCGAGTGTGGGTGTGAGGTTTGTGTGAGTGGTGCGTGTGTGGGAGGGTTGTGTAATGGTGTGTGGTGTGTGGGCGTGTAGTATTTAATGTATTATTGAATATGTATTCATTTGTCTTGTTTTCACCCAAGAGCTTGTTTACTCCTTCCCCCTGGAATATGTATTATGTATGCCTAATACAAATATAAGTATGTGAATATACGTGTAGGTAGACTGTATGCCTATAATTATTTAGTCATAACGCGCGTGCACATGCCTGCCCCTCCCCCCCTCCCCCCTCCACTTCCTCTGATAATGAGGTTTCGCTTCCGTAACATTAGGAGGTTTGGCAACGTCGCCCTGCCAGTCATGAAATAGAACGGCCCAGCTGCCTTATCCGAGGTGCTGCCCCCCCCTCCCTCCTCCCCCACCCTGAAGGCCTGGGCGGGCTGAATATAACTGGTGTTTGTTATTAAAGGCATGGAGAAGGGAGAGAGGGAGAGGGAAGAAAGGGAAGAAGGGAGAAGAAGGAGAGGGAAGAGAGAGAGAGGGAGAAGAGAGAGGGAAGAGAGAGAGAGGGAAGAGAGAGAGGAGAGAGAGAGAGGGAGAAGGGAGAGAGGGAGAGGGAGAGAGGGAGAGGGAGAGAGGAGAGAGAGGGAGAGAGAGAAGAGAGAGAAGAGGAGAGAGAGAGAGAGAGAGAGAGAGAGAGAGAGAGAGAAGAGGGAGAGGGAGAGGGAGAGGGATAGGAGAGGGAGGGGAGGGAGGGAGGGAGGGAGGGAGGGAGGGAGGAGGGAGGGAGAGGATGGAGAGGGGGCAGAGGAAGAGGGGAGAGGGAGAGGGAGAGGGAGGGAGAGGGAGAGGGAGAGGGAGAGGGGAGGAGAGAGGAGAGAAGAGAGGAGAAGAGAGAGAGAGGAGAGAGAGGAGAGGAGAGAGAGAGAGAGAGAAGAGAGAGAGAAGAGAGAGAGGGAGAGGGGGAGAAGGAGAGGGAAGAGGGAGAGAGAGAGAGAGAGAGAAGAGAGAGAAAGAGAGAGAGAGAGAAGAGAGAGAGGAAAAAGAAGAGAGGGAGAAGAGAGAGGGGAGAGAGAAAATGAGAGGGAAAGTGAGAGTGGGTCGGAGAAGGTGAGAGTCGCATATTGGGACAAAAAAAAAAACTAAACACCAAAACACACACACAATAACACTGTACCACACAGCTGAGATTACACACTCGACGACAGACACAACACACACACACACACATCACACCACACACACAGTCTCTACTAAGACGTATACACACGATGTGTCATTCACCATACGACAATCCTAGCTTTTATTTGGCTTATCTTCAACATGAGCATGAGCACACACCAGCGGATTAGTATCCAAACTGTTATATAAATTCAAATTATTTAAGACTTTGCATCTGCGACAACACAATCACCGAACCACACAACTATAGTCCGAGAAGATGTCCCACACGCACAACGAGACAAACGATACGAACAGGATAACCACAACGAAGGACAACGAGCCGGGCCATCGCGGTAGAACCGTACATGTTTCCCCGACCGTGGCCAGGCGCCTAGCAAGTTGCAAAAAATTGCTCTATTGTTGCTTCGTTTTTTTTTTTGTGCATTCTATTTAATTTATTTTTTTTTCTCCCTCTAAGGAAGACCATCTTGAATAATCGCATATTTCTTTCCCTCCCTTCGTTGCAGTAAAGGGATGCCATGGTTGTTGAGGGCATTAATCGCGAGGGGGCGAGAGGGTTGGCCCGCCCCAGAAACGGGGTTTCGAGGCGGCGCGGAACCGGCCGGCGGGGGTGATTTTGGGGTAGAAAGGGGGGGGGGTTTTGCCTTTTCTTCTGTCCTCTTAATCTGGTCCTGGTCTGTCTCTGTCTTCCTGTTCCTCTCTCCCTGTCTGTCTGTCTGTCCTCCTCTCTCCACCTCTTCTCTCTCCTCTCTTCTCTCATCTCTAATCTCCTCCCCCTCTCTCTCTCTCTATCCTCGTCCTCTCGTTCCTCATCTCTCTCTCCTCCTGTCTCATGTTCTCTCGTGTCCCTGTCTCATTCTTTCTCTCGCTGATACTCCACTCCCTGTTCTCTCTACCTTCCCTATCGCTCTCCGATCTCCATCTCTCTCTCTCTCTCTCTCTCTCTCTCTCTCTGTCTCTGTCTTCTGTCTCTCTCTCTCTTCTCTCTCTCTCGTCTCTCTCTCTCTCCATCTCCTTCTCCTCTCTCTCTCTTCTCTCTTCTCTCTCTCCTCTCACTCTCTCCTCTCTACTCATCCTCTCTCTCTCTCTCTCTCTCTCCTCTCTCCTCTCTCATCTCTTCTCTCTTCTCATCTCCTCTCTCTCCCTCTCTCTCCCTCTCTCTCTCTCTCTCTCTCTCTCTTCTCTCTTCTCTCTGCCTCTGCCTCTCTTCTCTCTCCTCTCTCCAATCCTCCCACCTCTCTGCCTTCTCTCTGTCTGTCTAGTTTTAGTAGTCTGTCTGTCTCTATCCCCACCTATTTTATCCATCTATCCTCGCTTTCATTCCCTCCTCCCTCTAGACTCTTGAAGTCTTTCATTTATTTATTTATTGCTGGACTTGTTTCCTGGCCAGAGTTCGCGGTGTCGCTCAGCTCGCTTTGGCCTTCCGTTCCTGCGCGTTCCCGGGGGCGTTCCCGTGAGAGTCTGTAGGCGGGCGTTCCCTGTGGAGAGTCTGTAATCCGGGGCGTTCCCCGTGGAGAAGTCTGGTAATCCGGGGGCGTTCCTGTGGAGTCCCTGTAAAATCCGGGGGCGTTCCTGTGGAGTCTGTAATCCGGGGGGGCGTTCCTGTGGATCTTAATCCGGGCGGTCGTTCCTTGTGGAAAGTCCTGTAATCCGCGGGCGTTTCCCCGTGGAGAGTCTGAATCGGGGCGTCCTGTGGAGAATCCGGGGGCGTTTCCTGTGGAGAGTCTGTAATCCCGGGGCGTTCCGTGTGGAGAGCCTGTAATCCGGGGCGTTCCTGTGGAGTCTGTAATCCGGGGCGTTCCCGTGGAGAGTCTGTAATCCGGGGGCGTTCCTGTGGAGTCTGTAATCCGGGGCGTTCCCAAGGGTCTGTAATTCCGGGGGCGTGTGGAGTCTGTAATCCGGGGGCGTTCCTGTGAGTTGTTAAGTGGAGTCCCGGGGGCCGTTCCCGTGAAGTCTATAACCGGGGGCGTTCCCCTGTGGAGTCTGTAATCGGGGGCGCGTTCCCGTGGAGTCTGTAATCCGGGGGCGTTCCTGTGAAGTCTGTAATCCGGGGGCGTTCCCGTGAGTCTGTAATCCGGGGGCGTTCCCGGGAAGTCTGTAATCCGGGGGCGTTCCCGTGGAGTCTGTAATCCGGGGGCGTTCCCGTGGAGTCTGTAATCCGGGGGCGTTCCTGTGAAGTCTGTAATCCGGGGGCGTTCCCGTGGAGTCTGTAATCCGGGGGCGTTCCCGTGGAGTCTGTAATCCGGGGCGTTTCCTGTGGAAAGTCTGTAATCCGGGGCGGTTTCCCGTGGAGTCCTGTAATCCGGGGGCGTTCCCGTTGGAGTCTGTAATCCCCGGGGCCGTTCCGTGGAAGGTCTGTAATCCGGGGGCGTTCCCCGTGGAGTCTGTAATCCGGGGCGTTCCCGTGAGTCTGTAACGGGGGCTTCCGCAGTGGAGTCTGTAATCCGGGGGGTTCCCCGGGAGTCTGTAATCGGGGGCCGTCCCGTGGAGTCTTAATCCGGGGCGTTCGGTGGAGCGTAATCCGGGCGTCCGTGAGTCTGTAAATCCGGGGCGTTCCTGTGAAGTCTGTATCCGGGGCGGGTTCCGCGGAGTCTGTAATCCGGGGGCGTTCCCGTGGAGTCTGTAATCCGGGGGCGTTCCGTGAAGTCTGTAATCCCGGGGGGCCGTTCTGTAATCCGTACTTCCGGGGGCGTTCCCCTGTTTAATCCGGGGGCGTTTCCCGTGGAGTCTGTAATCCGGGGGCGTTCCTGTGGAGTCTGGTAATCCGGGGGCGTTCCGTGGAGTCTGTATCCGGGGGCGTTTCCCGTGAGTCTGTAATCCGGGGGCGTTCCTTGTGGAGTCTGTAATCCGGTGGAGTCTGTTCCGGGGCGTCCGGTGGTCTGTAATCGGGGGCGTTCCGTCTGTGGGGCTGTTAATCCGGGCGTTCCCGTGGAGTCTGTAATCCGGGGGCGTTCCCGTGGAGTCTGTATCCGGGGCTTCCCGTGGAGTCTGTAAATCCGGGGCGTTCCCGTGGAGAGTTCTGTAATCCGGGGGCGTTCCCCGTGGAGTCTGTAAATCCGGGGGCGTTCCCACGTGGAGTCTGTAATCCGGGGACGTTCCCGTGGAGTCTGTAATCCGGGGGCGTTTCGCTGGAATTTATGCATGGGGAGTGCTTGGTGTTGATCGCGGCCGACAGTACCCGGACTCGAGGAGGGGTGGGGGGTGGGGTGGGAATGGGTTGGGGGGGGGAGTTGTCTCTGTCGATGGCTGGGATAAATTGGCATCGAGAACAATATCCGGCTAATGAGCGAATTCACCTCGATTAATCACCTGTGCGTCGCTCACGTGGAAACTAATTGCCCGGTGTTATTATCAGAGCCGCGGACAGGTTATATAATCCGTGCGCGGGTGATTTATGCGGCGATTCATTGAGGCGCTGGATCATGCCCCGTGCCCAGTGGGGGGATTCGTGGGGCGGGGGGGGGTGGGGTGGTTGGGGGCTGGGGAAAGCTGCGCCGCATCCTCTCTCTCTCTCTCGCTCTCTTTCTCTTTCTCTTTCTCTCTCTCTTTCTCTTTCTCTTCTCTTTCTCTCTTTCTCTTTCTCTTTCTCTTTCTCTTTCCCTTTCTCTCTCTCTCTCTCTCTCTCTCTCTCTCTCTCTCTCTCTCTCTCTCTCTCTCTCTCTCTCTCTCTCTCTCTCTCTCTCTCTCTCTCTCTCTCTCGCTCTTTTGTCTTTTATCATTCTCTTTCTTTTTCTCTTTCTCTTTATTTATCTTTTTCTCTTTTTTCCCTCCTCCTCTCCCCCCTCTTCCCTTTTCCCAGCCTCCTTATCCTCCTTTTCCTTTTCTTCTCTTCCCTTCCTTCCTCCTCCGCCTCCTTCCCTCCCTCCTCCTCCCCCCTTCTTCCCTTTCCTCTCCCTCCCTCCTCCTCTCCCCTTCATACCTTTCCTCTCCCTCCTCCTATTCCCTCTCCTCTCTCCCCTCTCCGCTCCCTTCCCGGCTGTCCCCCAGATGGATGAGGGAAGCTGTATCGCGGCCTGGCCAGGGAGGAGGGAGAAGAAGAGGAGGAGGAGAGGAGGAGGAGGAGGAGGAGGAGGAGAGAGGAGGAGGAGGAGAGAGAGGAGAAGGAGGAGGAGGAGAAAGGAGAAGGAGAAGGAGAAGGAGAAGGAGAAGGAGGAGGGAGAAGAGAAGGAGGAGATGGGAGGAAGGGGGAGGAGGTGGAGAAGGAGGAGGGAGGAGGAGAGAGGGAGAGGAGGAGGAGAGGAGGAGAGGGAGAGGAGGAGGAGGAGAGAAGGAGGAGGAGGAGGGGAGAGAGGGGAGGAGGAGGAGGGAAGGAGGAGGTGGAGGAGGTGGAGAAGGTGGTGGAGGTGGGAGAAGGAGGAGGAGGTGCAGGAGGAGGAGGAGGAGAGGAGGATGGAAGGAGGAGGAGAGGAGAGGAGGAGGAGGAGGAGGAGGAGGAGGGAGGAGGAGAGGGGGAGGAGGAGGAGGAGTAGAGGGTGGTGGGTGTGGTGGTGGTGGTGGTGTGGTGGTGGTGGTGGTGGTGTGGTGGAGGAGGAGGAGGAGAGGAGGAGGGAAGGAGAGGAGGAGAAGGAGAAGGAGGAGGAGGTGGAGAGGAGGAGGTGGAGAAGGAGGAGGAGGAGGAGGAAGGAGGAGTGGAGAAGGAGGTGGAGGAGGAGGAGGAGGAGGGGGAAGAAGAAGGGAGGAGGAGGAGGAGGAGGAGCAGGAGCGGAAGCAGGAGGGGGAAGAAGGAGGAGGAGGGAGACGGGAGGAGTGAGGACGAGGAGGAGGAGGAGGAGGAGAGAGAGGAGGGTGGTGGTGGAGGAGGGAGGTGGGAGTTGGAGAAGGAGGAGGAGGAGGAGGTGGAGGTGAGAGAAAGAAAAGGAGGAGGAGGTGGAGAGGAGGAGGACGAGGAGGAGGAGGAGGAGGAGGCCGAGGGCCGAGGCCAAGCGAAGGCAGTTTGGACGATTTGTCAAGATCTATCTCTCGCGTCCCTCTTCCCTCTTTTTATTTTCGTTTGTTTTGTTTCCGGTTATTTGTATTCATCGAGATCCCCCTCCTTTTTCGTTGCCTTCCCTTCCCCTTCCCTCGTTCCTCTTATCTTTTTCCTCTCCCTCCCCTTTCCCCCTCTCTCCCCTTCTCCCTCCCTCTTCTCTCCTCTCCTCTTCTCCCCTTCTCCTTCTCTCCCTCCCCTTTCTCCCTTCTCCCCCCTCCCCTTTCTCCCTTCTCTCCCTCCCTTTCTCCCTCTCCCCTCTCCCCTCCCTCCCCTCTCTCCCTCTTCTCTCCCTTCTCTCCCCTCCCCTCTCCCTCCCCTCTTCCCCTCCCTTCTCTCCCTCTCTCCCCTCCCCTTTCCCCTCTCCCCTCTCTCGCCTGCTCCTGACCCAGTCGTTGCAGGAGAGTGATGGAGTGCGGGCATTATTGCAAAGGGGCTGCTGGGGTGGGGGGTAGGTGTGGGGAAGTGTGGGCGGTGGTGGGGAAGGTGTGGGGTGGGGTGGGGGCGGGGTGGGTTCTTGGGTATTGAGGATAGGGGGTATAGGCGAGTTCTCTGGGGGGTGGGGTGCGGTGGGGTGGATGGGGACGTCAGGGCACTGTTCGTGACATACTTCTCTTTCTTCTGTTCTTCTCCCATGTTCTTTGTTCTTGTGCTGTTTCTTTGTCTCTCGGTATGTTTGTGTGTCTCTCTGTCTCTTTCTCTTTTCTCTCTCTTCCCTCTTCCCTCCCTTCCCTCCCTCTCCCTCCCTCCCTCCCTCCCTCCCTCCTCCCTCCTTGCCCCTCTCCTCCCTCCATCCCTCCACTCCCCTCACTCCCCTCCACTCCCCCTCCCTCCCCCTCCCCAGAAATGGCCCAGGGAGGCGCCTCCTCCTTCGCAGAATTCTCAGGACTGGCCAGCGCGGATCTCATGTAAGGCCGTGCATGATTTATGCCCCGTGTATGCGTGGGCATATCCTGCGCGGGGTTGGCCGTCCTGCCGAGGAGGGATAATTTGTTATGCCTTCCGAGCTGATGCCACAGCGCCTGGGTAAATGTCAAGATTTTTTTTCCCCTTCGCGTGTGAGGAGGAGGGGGGAGGAAGGGGAGA